AAGATATCTCACTATTTTTGACTTTTCTATTTCCGTCAAGTCCTTCTTTTAATTCTATTTTGCAAAGGAAGTTGTCAATAATTATGCACACCTGATATAGGTGTTGATGTCATTAGACCACACCCCTTCTCATTACAGAGATGCACATCACCTAATATGCTTAATGGGTAGTAGGCTTTCGAGCCTATACAGCTTGGAGTAAGACAACATGCATAAAGAGGATGATGTGGTCAAAATACTCATTTGCCTAATAATTCTGCACTCCCTGTAGAGATTGCTGCACCTTCTCCTCAAAGGAGTGTAGATGAACTGTTTATAATGTCTTAAATAAAGACATCAAGTCAAAATTAAAATTAGACCATCTTGGAGTTTAGAAATAGTACATAAGCTTGCAACACTTGGCAGGCTTTGTTTCTGTACAGGGCACCTAATTTTGGATAAAGTTTAGATGCAAGCTTTTCTATGTGCAGGCCAAAAGATAGATTGGGGTCTAATATCATATCCAAGTATTTGAAAGAGTGGACCGCGGTCAGTGTGCCATTTGAATTTGTTTTGATGGATAGAGGACTGAGACCTCAAATTCCATATTGTGTATCGTGAGATCACACAGGGCAGAAGAGGTAACCAGGATTTACACAATACTGTCTTGTGCAGAGCTGCCTGAGAGTGATAACGCAGCTGTGCTTAATTGCTGCCATTATTAATTCTGTCTCTCTCCTCTTATTCACATGCTGGATGAGGAGCTTGAGAGAAAGTGGCATGGTCTCTCACTCAACTCAGCATCTTGTCCGCTATATTTTTAAGGCAAAAGAACAGTAAGGATTAATGTCAGGAGCGGCAGTTGACTTTGGAAGAGAGCCCCAACTCGTGAGTGGGTTTTTTATTATAATATACAGTATCTGTGTGGCAAGGAACAGGAGATCTATGGCATTACATAATATAAAATCTCTTTCATAACAGATGTTATGGAATGAACATAAATAAAATGTATTTTGAAACATACAATAGTTTAATGTAAAGGATACGTAATGGTGGTGTATGGTCGGAAATACAAATTATCAGGGGTCTGCAGACATCATAAATCACTTGACCATATGATAGATCCAGAATTCCATAATGACTCTATTTTGTATATTTAGAAGACAGCTATCTATTATCTACATTACAGCAGATATGTGGAAAAGAGAATATTGCTTTCATTCCAAAATTAATTGTCTTGAAAAGAACTGTGCTTCGCTAACAGCCTACTAACTGTAGACATATGTAGCATACAATCAATAAATGGTTGTACAAAAAAAGTTTTACTGAAAAACATTAGGTGAACTGAAAGCAAACAACGCAAACAAAAACAAGCTTTGGTTGCTTTTAAAATCCTAATAAACATTTTTCAATGGTCAGTGTAATGTATTACCAGAAATCTCGGGGCCTGCCATAACATTCCTTACTACTCAGTTAGTCAGCAGGAGTGATGCAAACCGATTCTAGCTAGCTAGGCCGTGAATCAGAGAGTCTCCATGATTTTTAGCTGAAATATGAATCACATTTCTCCTATCTTGTAGTATTTAGTTTCCTCATCACCAAGTCAAAAGGTTTAAATCTTAGAAAACTCCTTAATCTTCATCCTACGTTTCTCTGAAATGAATTCATCATGATGCAGCTTTTACTAATCCTTTTAGCAAAACTTTCCATATTGAAGGAAAACATTCCAAGAGAGGCAGTTTTTTAAAATAATATTCTTTGAAAAGCCACTCCATGTGTGAGAGCAAATGTCACTATAATTCTGTTAAATGAACTCAATCTCTTCTCCACGTGGAAGTTATGTCAGAGAAAACTAGAGGAGAAAGAATGCACTAATGAGTTCCAAATGAGAACATAGCATTTAGCAACTTTAGCTATGTCATTTACGAAACATGTTGGAATATGCAATCTTCTGGGACTGGAGGAGATGTGTAGTAATGCTATGTAGGAGTTGCATGATTGGTTCCATCATTAATAAGTACAACCCGTCAGCAGTTTTCCTGTTGACTCGTGGTGGTGTAACTGGATAAGCAAACAGAACAAGATAAGTGGACACATCCTGAGATTAAGGTTAGAATCACCAGGAATAGAATTTAACAAAATGTGGTCTTTTTATTTTTTTAAACCTCCTGATTCTTGCTTCTTTGAATGTGTATAATGAATTGAACACTGAAGGAGGTGAATGTGATCTGCACTGAAACGCGTCGGGCGTTTCAATCCTTCACTGTCATCAATGTGCACTTTATAGCACAAATTGTGCTATTCACTATTTTTTCACTTTATTTTCCTTATGTCTAGTAAGTTTTCAAGGGAGAGAGGGATGCTTTTTTTACTTTTCCTATGGTTTACCATATACATTGGAAAACCTATCTCTCCTGTGCATAGTATGGAATTGTTTCTTATTAATCTAACAGCAGGTCTTTGATTCAATAGATAGTTTAGACATTTTAGTATCCACTATGTTGTATCTTTGTTTTGATTATGAGATTAGATACATTAGATAGTTTTTTTTCTTTAATTGCTACTCTCTTCTCTAGTCCCTCTACATAAAGTAAAATAAAACTCCTATACATGTTCTGCATACTGCACTCCATTTGAGCTATTTGGGACGCCCATATCATCACATATTCTTAGACGGGGTTTGCACCATCGATACGCTGAAACAGCTGAGCTTTGAGATAGCTTAATCAAATGTGAGTGAAATCACATAAGATCACACATCACTCATTCATTGTACATACTGTACTGCACTATTATTGCTTCTTCTGTTCACTTTAACATATTAATGGCTTCG